AAAAACCAAATATACAAACAGACAGCGCAAAAGTAAAACAGCCTACTTACATGTGTTTCTTATGTAAGTAGGCTGTTTTACCTTTGCGCTGTCTGTTTGTATATTTGGTTTTTGCTCACATAAATTTGTATTCGTCTTTTTGCGGAATATTCTGTATGTTATTGTTTTCTTCTTAGGCCGTCACTTAATAAATGCATGCTGTGGATCACAGTGCGGAAAAGTTCAGCTTACGGATTTAAGACATTTTATTTGATGAGTACATCGCGATGTCATTCATCTGTGAACAAGAAGAGTCGCATATTCGAAATATATCCAAATTATTGATGTGTTAAGAAATCGATAAACATTGACCATATTCAATTATATTTGAAAACTTCTTGACTCCCCTTGACGTTTCAATCTGTTTGTGTTTGCAATTTTAGTTCAAAACTTGTTCACCGAAAAAATGAATTTCGTCATCAAAAATAAATCGGTTGCAAAAAGAAGTTTCATTCAGAAACACAATTCGTTCGATTAAGAAGTCTCTGCCAGAATTGAAAGGAGGTTTGAGTTGATATTTGGATGGATTTTTATTGCGAGTGGTTTTTAAATTTAAACATCGGCTTGACAAAGTTGACTTTAAAAAATATTAGATAATAATATCTTGTCACTCAATCAAAAAGAGTCAAATTAAAAACAAGAATCATGTTGGTTTCAGTAGGATGATATAATTATATTGGATTTTTTTTATTTTAGCTGCAGAAGTTCGCCCATATATTTTTGAGTTTTTGGCACTCCAAAAGTTGGCGGTTCTTTTTCAAGGAAAAAATCAATTCTTATAAGAAACAAATCGTTTGGTTGTGATACTCTCTGACTCTGTTGTGAGAAGCGACTCTGTCTGGAATATTTTTTGTGATGGCACATTGGCCTGTGCGAAGCAGCCGGTTGGTAGCCAATATGAGCACTGATTAAAAAATTGATTAGATGTCTGGTGACTCTGGTCCTACCGAACAATGAACAAAATATCTATTTCAACATTAATAAACGAATTCCACAAGCACATCATTAAAGAAGTTCGATTTTAATAGTCATTTTTCATAAATTTATTTCAAAATTTTCGATTTGCAAGCATAAATCTATAAAAGTAAGTATCATCAGGTAGAAAAAGGTAATCTCGATTCTATTCCTCTCCCCATGTCATCAATGTTCCATTAAAAGAGCTCTAAAACGAAAGAAAAATGCATCGAAATAATTTAAAATCGTCATTCGATTGAACAATTTGAATGAAAGCATACTGTTGTTTTGCGTAGCATTCCTGTGTGCAATAAATTACAACGTCATGTATTGCGCCACACGTTTGACAATGATGTGTCGCTTTCTTCCTTTCCAGTTCGATATTTTCTGCTTTCAACTTGGAAATGCTCTCAAGCAACATCACGTTTGTTTTTTGTAAATCGACTATCGATTGATCCAGCGTGTTGATTACTTCCTTCAATTCAACGTTGTCTTGCTCGATTTCGGTGTTCTTTGCGATGGCTTTGTTTAAAGCTTGTTTTGTATCAATAAATAGTTGTTTGTAATTGGTTTTGTCTTGAGCCAAAGTGGACACCGTCATGGAGTTGTTGTGTGAAACAAGAGCCGTTTTGTTTTCAGTCACACTATCACTTTGGGTTTTGGTGATATTTTCTGTGCCATCACTGGTTCTGTTCCGTTGGTTATGCGTTGATTGGTCCACTAAAGAGACTTGCTGATTTGTAAACGTTGTCTTTAGAGAAACAATGAAATACAAGACATTCAAACATTGATTTTTGCCACATGAAACTTTTATTGCGCGCCAAATAAAACGTCAAAACATTTTGGACCATAATATTATGGGAAACAAATTAAAACTTACCAAAACATCAGCCAATCGATTGATTGCATTTGTCAATTGCTCTTTATCCATGCTTCACGACACAAAATTTAACGAATTAAAGGGAATTTTTTTTTTATTGTTCGCTATATTCCCAGGAAGGTACCAATGAATGTGGTAAAAATATTGAGCCACTGTACAACCATCAGATGTGAGGTTAGATGAACTACAGCTGTCAAAGACAACGTTCACAGACACACATATATTTCATTGGCACATACATTTCAAAGCATAAACATTGCTCGTTCAATTAGCAGCATTCGATGCAGCATTTTTCAATAGCTTTGGCGGTTGGATTCAAAATCTTTGGCAATTTGATTGCCTGCATTTTTCAAAATTTTTGAAATTGCACAGTCAATTCTTTTACAATGAAAATACTTGGGTAGAAATTTCAGTCTGCACTTCCTCATAGTTTCATTGCAACCGCAATAGGAATGTTAATTCAGTCATACTATCAATTGATATTATACTGACTGAGAGCGATACGATAGGCGATACGCTGAAGAAAATAACTCTTGAAAAAAAAAAATCAAATTACCTTTCTAATGCCACCTTTGTAATTGGACGTACATCTTTAAATGTTCATTTTCGCGACTCTACATTATCTGGAATAAAATAATTAAATAAATAAAACATAACGAGTTCGTCAAATGTAAATTGTTTAAAGTTTAATGAAATTCAGAAATAAAAGTCTTGTGTAGCAGTAATCGTTTAATAATAAATCGTTTAATAAACGTTCTTCACTTATCTGGGACCATTAATCTTTTATTATGTGAAAATGAAAAAAAATATTTAATATAAAATTCGAGTTATTATTTGTTTTTCTTTCAAACTTTACAAGATCAAATATTTTATCGTTGGTAATATGAACATACCAAAAAAATACTAAGCGATTGTATTAATATTATTGGCATGACAAATAAGGAAGGTGCCAACGAAGGAAGGTGCCACCTGTGAACGTGATCGTCTCTCAATATGTGGAAGTTGAAACTTATGTTCCATTCATCTCTGTATTTGTCCAAAATGTTATCCCAAAAATTCATTCGATCGAAGTATAAATCGGTTTCTGCAAAAATTCCATCGTTTCTGATGTCAGAGTAATTCAAATGAGTTGAGTTTGGCATTTTAAGCACGATTGGACCTTTATTCGGCATTGGATTCCTGTTTATAGAGCAAAATGGTCAATGGTTAGTTTGCAAGAGTTTTAAATTTAAAATCTAAGTTACCCAAACTTTACAAAATCAGCATAAAACTTGGCAGTATTTTCAATAATTTGGCGCGGAACCAAGTTTTTGTTGAGGAATTTATAGTCGTCGTCGGGAAAAATGTTCCCAATCGGTCGCTGAAACAAATAATTCAACACATCTACGTGCATTGAAAACTTTATCGGAAGATTTGCAACTTTTGTGTATTTGTTGCTGTAGCTAAAATCAGTGTCAACAGAAATACTGAAATATTTGGACAATTCGTTTAAATTTGAATCGAGAACAAAATTCTTCAAATAAAAATGTTTAATTACTGTCTGTAAAATGTGCGTCCGGTTGATTTTGCCGCCGCCGAAAAAAAAGTCTCGGATTCTATTCGAAATATTTTTGTAAACCTAAAAATCAAATAGATTTGATCATATGGTGAGATTGAAATGACTGAAACAAACAACTGAATTGAAATCCATGCGTGCTCTTAAAATTGGAAGTTCAAAGTCGAAAACTTCATCAATGCGTTTCATAGACTCGGGTTCCATTACACGTGGATCAATAAAACTATGTTCCTAAAACCGGTTTGAAAAATACAGATTCCACTATAATTTTTGTTTTGTAATAGACCAATGGGAAATCAAAATCAAACGAATAATACCCTAGGGTGAAACAGTGTATAACGTGTCAATGTTACTTTCGTAATTTTCATTTGTCAAAATGTCCAAAGTTGATTTAGTTAAAAATGAATCGATTGCATCTTCACCTACATAAAATACGATGCGAATGTTTTATTATTTGATAATTTTCCCAGTCAAGTGAAGAAATATTCATATAACCTACGTTCAATAAACAAATTCCAAATGGAACTGAATTGAATACGACCATTATCTAATATTTTAAGCTGTGGATGAAGCCCAGTCACCAAAAATTCCCCGTTTATTTGATTCAAGAATTCGACAAGATCATCTTTATTTGAAGCCGAATAATTCAAGCTCTTCGCTGAATATAAAATAATTCGAGTCATTTGAATTTGTAAGAATTTCATAAAATTTTGTTAAAATTACCAAATCCATATAACATATTCGTATAATAATCATTGTTTGCTGGTAAAAGTGGATTGAGGAGGGCTCCATTTAACATCAAACCTCTTTGAAATAAATTCTTTGATTGTGACGATAAAATGTGAAAATTTGCACATATCGACCCTATTATACGAAAGGTTAATGATAATTTCCAAATGATCGTTTTTAAATGAAATGAAAAAGTTTACCGGAAGAGTGTCCACTAGGGTGTTTCCACATGGAAAATATCAAAAAGTGGCTAGCATCATTTTGAAGAGCGTAAAATTCTGTATAAGATCATTTGATTTTCGATGCTGATTGGTCGCCGATGTCACTTCCTGGACTAAAAAACACATTTGTGAATTGATTTCATGTCGCATTCACGCCAGAATCTGTAATTAATGAAATTTTAAGATTGAACAAAATTAAAAACATGAAAAATAATTTTAATATCAATATTATTGCTTAAATATTTAAAAAGTAACACAAAAACTAACAATTTTACCACAATAAACCAAAACAATGCAAAATTGCCAATTCATCAAATTGTCGCCACCAAATTGTCCAATATTCTCATTCACCCATCTCAGGACCTGTCTTTGATCTTTCATTGCCACATTACCCGAATACTCTGGCAAATTCAAAGACATTAAACGTTACCTGAAACAATCAATTTAATTTGGGAAATCTAAAAAAAAATGTGTTCTTTTCGATTCGAAACATACAACTATGACGTCGTTATCTATTAAAAAGTCCGGCAACATGTATCGCGGTGTACCATAGACAAATGATCCACCATAAATATAAATTAACACCGATAGTTTTGCACTTGAATTCAATCGCACGCAATTCAATGGAACGAAAACGTTTAAAAACAAGCAATTTTCTGATCCAACTGTTAACCCTTTCTTATTTTGAAGACAATCTTCTTTATATTCAAATGCGTCAAGTGCTCCTGTCCATGGATCGTTTTTAACTGGAGCCCGAAATAAATCTCAAACCATTTAAATAAAAAATTCTCCAAACAAGCAGTTGATGACCGTGATTATCTTAGTTTGAATCGAAGGTCATTGATCGGTGGCTTTGCGAATGGAATGCCTCGAAATGATTAATACAAATTATTCTCGAACAAAGTGTAATTCTTTTTGCCACGAACAAATCCGCTCTCCAATTTGATCGTACAATATTCTACGTCGTTCACATTTTTTGCTGTCACCAATGACATAAAACCCACAATAATGCACAACAAATTGATTAAGCTCAACATATTTGAATGAAATTTGTGTGTGACACTGGCACTTGGATTAAACACAACTCTTTTCTGTATTAGCGCACGCAACGAATTCATCACACGATAGGTTATTTCAGTTTTGAACAAATTTTGGGCTGCTTTACAAAATTTATATAGTTTTGATCTTGTGTCTGAATCTTGATCTCTACTCTAATTATCTCCTTTTATTCCATAAAAATTTGATGTTAATATAGAACAGATAAATATTTTACTTTGGTTTGTAATGTCTTTGAATGCATTGAATTTCGTGGCAACAGTACAATTCGCTTATCCCGGCAATTGGGCAATCACTATGACTTGATTTGGTTCAATTTTTCCCTCTTTTGTGTTCAAAGCTATTCTACGTTGGCAGTAAAAATAAGAGTTCGAAAGAAACTTATTTTATATTACTTCTACGCAACAAGGTAGTTTTTATGACAATATCATCTGTGCTCAAGTCGTTTTTGTATACTTTGTTAAAAATATTATGTGTTATACTAAATGCCTATAACGATTAAAGATTTACTTAAAATATTTGCATAATCATGTCATTTATCCTCCAAAACACAGGTATTTTCTACCGTGTTTTAACGAATAAAAATATATTAATTTTGCAAGAAACACAATCCAAAGAGATTACGATAAAATTTGGAAAGGAAAAATTATTATTATTATTATTTTTCTAATTAAAATTTTCCACGTATAATTTTCGGTTAGTTATCGAACGTTAAGTATAAATTCCAATTGATAAGTAGCAAAATTTAATTCGCTTTGAGCCTTTGACGTCATTGGAGACAAAAACACATGCGTTTGAAATATGCTTATGCGGTGGTGGAATTTAGAATTCGGTGGGATCCGATATTTCAACATATGTTCATAAACGATCGTTAAAAAAACAGAAAAATAAACTAAAGCCAAAAAGAAAAAAAATAAATTGTTACTGTTTCTCGAAAAACAGAAACACACCGAATGTTTCTTCGGTTATTCAGAGTATCTATTAAGATCGAAGTAATAGAGGTGTTTTTAAAATGAATAATAATGCGCGTTATAACACCAAATATTTCGTATGAAGATCGATTAGAGAAACAATACGTTTGCATACGTGTAATATCTTGGTTGAAATAAGGTATAAAAACGGTAAACAGGTTGTCTTGAAATCATTACAAAGTCGAACAACTTGTATCGTTCAAGTGAGGTGAATAATGAAGCTGTTTATATTTCTGTCGTTTTTAGCTGTTCTAGTGCTGGTTCAGGTATGAATTAACTGCAAAATACTGATCCCAAAAGAAAAGATAAAAAATATTTCTTCTGTTCATTAAGGCCGTTCCAAATGGAAAAGAGATAGAAATAACATTTAGCGATTTGGTGAAGAAAGTCTATGAAAAAACAAAAGGTTACGACAATGAATATCCATACGTTAATAATATAAATGGACGATTAGGTTTCGTGGTTAGTATTACTAATGACACTAGTGCTCTGCGTGAGAAATTCCAAATTCATCCCGATGAATTTACAACCGCAAAAAATGCCCAATACCTGAAGTCGAAAGTACCGGCAGGCTTGGTAATGTATGAACAACCAGCTTCAAAATTGTTGTACGACACAATCGCTCTAATCGATAAGACTCGGAAGGTCGAAATGAAAAAATTGTATGAGGAAATTTCGGCAGAACTATCAGTCCAATCGCCGGATAAAAATGATAAAGAATTCACCAATGGATATAATATATTTTCGAAAAATAGCCGTAGCAAAACACAAGCAGAACGCATTTATTCGAAAATGTCCGCAATGATTGGTGCAAACGCAGCAATATCGCATAGATTTACGACCAAAATTAACGAATTTGAACAATTAGATAAGGAAACTAAAGAAGTACTCGAAAATGCTAGGTCAAAGTGTGAAAGCATGGCTCTAACAGGCGAACGTTCTTACGCAATGGTACGAATTAATTTGATTAACATTTAAAATTTTGCCGGAAAAAATGATTAAATTTTCAATTTTCTTCGAATCAAGGATGCAATCGAATATGTAAGTACATTGAATTCGAATCAACAGAAATTGCTTTTATTACTTAAGCAAGTGAGAGATATTCTAAGGGAATATAATCAAAAACGCTTGCTTTGGGCGGAGTTCCTAATCGGAATTACACCAGAGATTGGCGGCAAGAGGCAACCAGTAGAGCCATCAAAGTCAACGGCTGAAAAGCTGGGATCGAAATTACATTTGGGAAAAGGAAAGGGAAAAAAATAAAAAAGCGCAGATTTCAAACCATCTGGTTCTTGAATCGTGTCAAATTAAAAACGTCGATAATTTGAAATTTAATGAGACGAAAACTTTATTGTTCAATAGAAAACAGATGTTTAAGACTTGAATTTTTTATTGATGATTAAAAGTTGTTATTTCAAGCGAGAAAAACGGATCTTTTATTTTAACCCAATTTAATTACGTTGTTTGTTGTACAAAAAATGTGGTCTATAGACTTATTTAAGATGATAGCTTTTGAATAAAGGAGACGAAAAGGGACCGAGAAGCAACAGACAGAGAATTTCAGAAATTTTCAGAATTTTGTCTCAGAATATTGAAGACCTAAAAAGGTACTCATGTCCGAAACCGAAAAAAAGTTTGTAGAAACTTTTTAGTAGGAAGGTAAATCAAATCCGTTCTGCGGTGAGGTCGGTAGGTGGTTTGAACACTTGGGCCCCTCGGTTAGAAGCTGCAAATTTTGCCTGAAAATGTTGCCCATCTATAATTCTCACCAAATATTTCTGCTTTGATGCCAGCAATATTTCATCCATTTCAGAGTGCAGCCAGCATAGTCTATAAATAACAGATACGGTGAGATCACGGCAGTCTAGGCTTAAAATTCCATATACACGTACTTTTATGAAGAAAAATGTACAAAAAGTGCTCTTGAAGTGCTCCAATGAATGATAAGCACAAAAAAAAACTTCTTTAAGCTGAGGAAAAACGTTTCAAAGTAAAAACCTACTACTAGGTAAAAACACACTCTTTTGAGTAACAGAAGAAATTTTAATATAAAAAATTCATAAATACAAGCAAGTATTAAAAAATGAATCTTCCTAATAAAAATGGCCATGAATTCTAAGTGAATTTTTGTACTAAACCTTAAGATATTTATCGATTAAATGAGTTTTCATATGTTTATGTAAATTGAAAAGTAAAATTGAATCAAAATTGTACTGTTTCTCGTTATTATCTTGAATAGTCAAAAGATGACAGAATGACTGATAAACGAAAGTCCATCGTCTGGATCATGTTACACATGTGTCTTGTCTTCAGTTTTGTCTTCATCTTCCTTTACGGTGTTCAACGTTGCATTTTCACTGAAATAGAAGAAAGAATAGAGAATGTATTGCCATTCAAAACCCATTTTGTTTGTCAAGTTCATTGGACAAAGGCTTACACGAATTTTTGGTGACATTCGTTGTTGCAATAAATGACGTAATCTTGTGCCTTTCCGCATCCGTGGCAATAACTTTTATCCTTACTGCCATTGGCACTTTTCAACCGTGCGATGGTTTCAATCAACTTGGCGTTTGCACTTTGTGTTTGGATGATCTTTTGTTGCAAGTCGTAAAATGTCTCCTTGTCTTCCGCAATTATTTTATCCAATCGTTGATTTGTTTCTTTCAACTGTTTTTTCAATTGGACGTTATCGTTGATCCATTTTTCTACCGCATCTTCGAGCGGTGAACTGTCCTTTGAGCGGTCATCTTTCGAATCATCGACGACTGGATCGGACCGATTGCTCTGAACGGAAGTTGTAACATCGTTGGCGTTTTTATCATTTGCATCTGTTGGATCATCGTTTGCAGTACCGCTTGCATTTTCTTCGTCTTCCGGCGTAATGTCAACGGTGATTACGGCTTTGTTGGTTTTTTCTTCACTTTTGGTGGTGTTAATGGTTTTTTGCTTGATTCCTGATTCAATCACCTCATCAATGATTTCCTGCTTGTCATTTGGTTCATTATCGAATCGCTGCTTTTTCTTGTTTGGTTCGTTGCCGTTTGATCGTTTTGATTGACGGCGCTTTGCGACCGACTGTAGCTTTGCGCAAGTATTCGTATCGAGTCGTTCCAATGATACAGAACATTGGGCGATTGCATTTGAAATCGATTCGTTTGGTTCTGATTTTGATTCATTCAAAATATCAACGTCTTCGTTTGAGTTATTTGGCGAACATTCTTCCATTGATTCATTGCTGTCGGGGGATAATTCCGAATTGGTCGAATGGTTTCCACGGCCTTCGGCCAAACTTGGTATCATATCGTTCAAGTAACGTTCATGCAATGCCGGATTGAACAACGTTTTGGTTTTGGCGATTACGAACGAACCGAATCTTTCACGAATATTTTCCATGTAATTGTACACTTCCTGGTGACGAAATTCAATAAAATCCATCAATCATCAACGTCGACTCTATTCATGGTAAGAATTAAAAGACGGAAATTGTTACTTACTTTGATTGCAGTATTGTAACCAGAGTGTGTAGCCCGTCGACCCGGATTATTTGCGGAATACAGGTAAATGTTGGTGGCCGGAACCTGTCGGAACAAAGAAAGATCGACTTGAAATATACTTGTACCAAAAATCATTCATTTTGTACCTACATCAGCGTAAGTGTGGTCGCCGAAGAAACGAACGTTGATCAATTGTCCGTCGATGGACATCAATTTGGCCTGGAAAGTGTGGAATGTTGTTAAAATTTGGAATTTTTGTAAAGAATTTTATTGAATTTATTTCAAAATTCCGACATAGGAAGTCAACGGCAAAATCAAGAGAGGAATTTTTTAATCCTCGTCAACAGCCCGGTGTTTTTTGACGAAAAGGTGTATTTAGCTTAAATAAAATACATACCGGCCAATAATTGAACCCCTTCATCTTCGCCCAAACCTGATAATAAAATTCAATAACATCGATCAATTCGAATTTAAGAAGTAAAAGGCAGAAATTGTTACTTACAAGCAAGTGCGGCTCCGAACATGCCATGGCAAACCATAAATGCGGATACTTGTTCGCCTTTTCGTAACACTAGTAAAATAAATATTCACATTAATTTAACAAATATCGAACTGAAAAATTAAAGAGGACGCCTTTTTCCTTAATTTCTTAAATGGACGTCTTTCTAATTAAATGTAAATAAGACAAACCTCGGCACACTTCTTGACACTTTCGATTTCATGTTCAACATATTCCATCAGCTCACGGACGGCCTTTGTACTTGCACTTTCTTCTAAACAATCAAATTAATCAAACGAATTTCAATCAGTTTTATCATGACATTCGAATTTTCAAACAAAAATCGGTAAAGAGATAAGAAAGGAATAAAAATTACCATTGTATGCAATTGTACAGTTGTGCTGAATCCACTGAATATCGGCCCGAAATTCGGCAAAATTTTTGTACGCTTCAATGTTGTGCTTGATCATTGTCACATTAATGGGATTGACAATGTCGTCAGAGTTCTTCCACGCACTGTTACCGCCACCCTTTTGCGTCGGCTTCAACGCGTGATACTGTTATGAAATGGACCTTTAATTCCAACAAACAGATTTCCCAATCAATTGTTACACTTACGAATTTGTTTGTAGCCACCCGATCCATGATTAGCGGCAACACCTTCACGTCATTTGGCCTGAGAAAATTGAATTGGAATATTTTTGTAGTAAAAAATTGTGTTGGCTGAAAAAATTATTTAGCTTACTTGTCGTCAGCAGCTTCCAATTCGTCGCATACTGGACATATCCAATCTTTGGAATCGACATTGTTTCGTTGGTTTTGTTCTAAACAACGCGAATGAAATGACCGCAAACACTTGGAGCAATTGTGTTCAGTAGTTTTTGTACAGCAGTCCCAACAATATGGATCATGATTTTTCTTAAATAATAAAGAATTCCATTTTTTAGTGAATATTATCCAGAAACTGGTCAGTTCAATTTTCAATATTATGTAAATTTCATTATGCAATCAATAAAAAAAACATCGTTTATCAAATGAAAATAGAAAGAAAATGTACTAAACCTCAAGTCGCAAGTCAGTGACAAAATTAAGAAAAAATCCAAATAAATATTTAATTACCTTTTTAGCATTCATGTTTTTTCAATTAATCGATGGTACGCGAGCTGCTTTCAAAGATTGCAAATGAGTTATTTTCCAATTGAATTATTTTGCTTCTGTTTTTTCCTTCGGAAAATGTTATTGCGTAATTACGTCTTAACACGTGCTTGCCAATACTTCGAATGACACATTTGCCCATTGGAAGAAGTTTTGCGCGCCATCAATGTACATGTCACAATGGTAGTCTAGATGAGTCCGTGCATGGGAGCGTTCAATGTTCAAGCCATTTTCATTCCACGGCGATTCGAATTGAAATCCGAAAAATTAAAAAAAAGTCAATGAATCAATATTTGTTCATGCTTTTTTCGAAAAATTCAATTTGGGACTACTTTTCAGAGCCATAATTTTATTTATTTTATTTTTTTTATTTTAATCCGACATAGTTTGGATCAGAACCAAAAACTTCGAACATAACCTTGGTGACTCACCAATTGTCACCATTCGATGAGAAAATCTTTGAGAATTATTCCAAGCAAAATACATTTTTTCAATCGATCTTTTCCGGCAAACAAAGTTAAAGCTAAACTTTGTTCAAGAAATTCTCAACTAAAAATCATGATTTGTTTCAAATTGAAAATGGTGCGTCGGATGATGTGACTTATTCAAAAAGAGTTTGATTTTATCGATGCATAAACAAGATAAAATAAAACAACAAAATAGATGCAATTTTGCTTTGTTTATTTAATTGCCATTTAGATATGAATGTGTAATACTTGTATTAGAATTTAGAAGATTTTCAATATTCGCAAATTTGTCACTTAGATCTGATGTTTGTCCAATCAAAAGACGGTTTGAATTAAATTACAAAAAAATAACTGAACATTGTTGAATGAAATGATTTAAATATGAAGTTCACATTAAAATCGAATCTGCAACTCGATAAAAACGTAGGTTCTTTTCAAAATGTAATTTCCACAATAGATTTTGAATAAATTTTTTTTAGAAAAAGTAAAAAAAAAAGCTGCTGCTTTTTGAGTTGAGGGTGTTCAGTTGCAAGTGTTGTGATTATATCCTCCGATTCATCACGTCTTACTTCTTATTTTTGAATGATTCAGTTTTGATGAGGTCACTGTAATAAAAATGATATTTTCGTCATTAAAAACCTTCCAACATCGAAAGAGTCTAGGGGGTAGACACGAATTATAAAACTTTGAATCATGTGAATCATTCAAATGTCAAATAAGCATCACTTTTGGTTTTACTAACATGATCGTTCAACAAATCCTAAATATTATCGTTGATTTTATTTGAAATTTACTAGAAAAACACGAAATAGATAAAAAAAATGAGTTAATACATTTAAAAAAACGTCAAGAAATCATTTTTTCGAAGACAAATAATTTTAATTTATCAATAAATATTTCTTTCATGACACATAAGTGACATTTCAAATGTCATCTAAACAATGTGAATCTGTTGAATCACAGTGAATCAAATGAATCATGTCTACCCCCTAGGAAAGAGTACTCAAATTTCCCAACATACATATATTTTTCTTGACATTCGTTGTTGCAGAAATGTATTTGAATGTGATCTTTGCCTTTGCCACAGCTGGAGCACCATTGTTTCTTCTTGGCATCTTCGATGGCCGAATCACATTCACGTTTCATTCGTTCCATTTTAGCCCTATAATGCAAAATTTCCCCCTTCAACTGGACAATTTCTTCGGCATGCTCAGCACGTAATTTAGCCAATTCGCGTTTGCATGCGTAATGCACCATGGGACCATTATTTAAGGGGATTAATTCAATCAAATTTTCGCGATACTTCGTTCTGATTTCCGAAATCGTTCTATCAATTACTTCGTTCATGCGAGCCTCGTAGTTTTTTACCAGCGGCATTTGTTCAGTCACGTCCTTTTGCATTCCAGTGATCCCTTCTGAGCGATTCAAAGTCAAGGTCGATAATGAAGTAGCAGAAGTCGCTTGATTTTTCAACGAAGCAATCCAGCTATCACCCGAAGAATTCATATTCAAGTTTTCCAGCACAACTCGGCACTCGAATCGTTTGTCAATCGACACTTTATCCGGAATTGCAGCCATGGCGATTGATATACAAATTTTTACTTAAATTTTGACGATTTTATGTCTAATTACGCCGTATTAGTAGACGTAATCAGATAGATTGACACGTTTCAGACGATTATGTCATGGAAAAATACAATTACGCTCTATAGAGCTCTATATATCCCTCTCTAAAAATCTATCCCTTCCCACGATCTAGCGGCATCAAACGATCTCACAATACTCACACAATAAGCATCCGTCTCTTTTTCCTTGTACTATCGTATCTCCGTGTACTTGTAGAGCGTGACTACGTTTCCAAGTAGATGATTGCGCTACAGAAGCTTTTTTACATTTGTATGCGTGCATATCGTTCTTTGTATTTGTGCTTGTTTCGATTGAACGACGAACACCGCTGTATTCATTTTTCACCATGTGTCAATCGTCTAGATTATCCTCTTCAACAAACAAAAAAGACACGGATTGTTTTTTACAGTGAAAAAATGAGAATAATTATGTTGAAGTATGAAGAATTCACAAAAAATAAAAGTGTTATTTCAATAAGCTCACAAAAAAGTCAATTTAGACAGTGAAACATAAGATGGAATTCACAGGCAACAAGTGAATGAGTTCAATTCCATAAAGATTGACACATTAGAATTGTACGAGCCAAAACACTTCCCTCCTATCATTCATCATTCGGCGTTCAACAAGAGAAGAAGTCAACTTGCCACTTTAGTGTGGAATAATTTACATTTAAAAAAAAATGAAAACAACACCATAAAGAGCCAGAAAAAGGTTTTTTATTAGAAAATTGCCTTTAAAAAATTAAAATCTTTGATCAAGCTAATTTGTGTAGATTGTTTTGTGTACAGTAAAGTTTTAAAACGTAATACCGCCAACGCTTATCGTATTGAGAGAAAGGTATGTGTTTATAAAAAAAATATTGTCAGGCCAAATTACTACTAGTGTGTGCTATTGATCATAGCTAAATTACAAAGTTGAATAAAGAGCAAAGAAAGAGTGAGACAAATAGTGCGAAAAACCTCTTTGTATGAGTTGTGCTATTGGATTCCTGCCTAAATATTCAACCGAATCCGATTGTTTTTCATTAAACTTCCGCCCATTTCAATAAACAACAACTCTTCGGTAGTGGATGTTTTTATTTACACATAAAAAACATACAAATTTGTGTGACTTTTAGTTTGATGTTAGTGAGTCATTTTTTGTTTACCGCATACTGATAAGGTGTGGTTGCATTAAAATCAAACAACAACAACACAGTATAATTCAAGTGACTTTGTGCGATCAAGATAAAGTAAATAAACGGTTGTTTGAAATGGTATCGCTTCAATAAGAGATAAAATTTGATCAAAATTGTATGAACTTTGTTACAGAGTCTCCGTCCGAAGCGATATTTGGTGTTTGAATTCAATATGAGTTCGATGAATCATCATAAAGTTTGTGTTTTTCATAAAATTTAAACCTTTTTCTTTTATCAATTTTCAGTCGTACTGTAGTCCGTCAATGAATTGTTTGATCGAATTTCACCAAAAATGAATTATAAAAAAGTAAATCCACATGAATTGAACGAACGAGTTCATAGCCGACTGGAATATTTCAACCAAAATCCACGCTCCAAGAAGGTATGCTTCTTCAATTTCGGTTTTTAATTCAGCAATTCCATAGGACCATGACCAAAATTCACCGTCATGGTACAATAATTGAATTGTCGCTTTTACATACTTGTACTACAAAATCCTTTTTTTTAAAAAACTGGGGGGTTTCGGCATTTTTTTATACAGACCATGGAGAGCATCACCGTTTTTGAGATGCAAAAGTTCATTATTTTCCAAATGGAACAAGAAAACGGTCATGTATTGTGCGAGGCTTTCACCGAAAATTTGAAATTGTTCAGCGTAAGCATACTGTTTATTAAAATCATTATTTCACAGCATGTATGTAGGTACTACCTAGGTAGCACCATATTGGGAAGCAAAGTTTTTGCTTTGTATGGGAACGAAGGAGTCGCCATTTGTATGAAGGCATGGAGCGAACAGTTTGTGGTTCTCATAGGAAGCAAGAGTTTTAGAGTCTTATTAGTGGATACTATTGATAGCCAACGAAAATCGGTCCAGTATAGGTTCCTCTTATATCATTTTTTTCCACTTTCAATAGGATTTGTTCGAACTGGAAAAGGAAAAGTATTACGGCCAAGTGGTACAACTACTGTGTGATGTGTTGATTTTACCCGATATTCTAAATGAAGAATTTTTGGAGCGAGTCACGACGTTCTGGTTGAATGAAATGGTCAATTTTTCGATGGCGATCAAAAAGCGCGTTTTCAATGCTCATTTCAAGAAATTGTGAGTAAACTTTTAAAATCGAACAAAAATATTCATCTTGTTGTGATTCGAACCCATTTCAATTTCAGCAAAGCAATTGCGCGTAACATCCCGAAACTCGGCTGTTTGGAATTGCAATCACAAGTTCTGAAAATTCTTTACGCTCACATGGACAACCCAAAGAAATTCATTCAAAAATTGTTTGGCGATGTCATTGACGAATCGCACTGGATTCTGAAGGAAATCAAATCGATCGAAAAGTACAACAATGATCAGAAGCATCGTTTGTTGAATCACGATCTTTTGAATTGCATCATTGGCAAAAATATTCGGTCAAACGAAATCCAGGCTTTGCACTTCGACGATAAAGCAGTCATTCCGTATTTGGTAATAAGAAATTAAAGATTTTTTTTTCTCTAAAAAAAAGCTAAAATATTCGGCAAAGAACTAAATAAGTTAAGAAATTTTTAACATTTTCAGCCGGATGATCCGTTCTCGGTTTGGGATCTTGATACAAAATCGGTTGAATTTGCTGTAACACAAGAACTTAAAGCCAAGATTGAAGCCCAGTCTCTACAGTCCTTAGAATTCAAAATGTAAATAAGTAAAAAATTGATTTATTCGACGTAGATTTGAATTAAACATTGTCTAATTGAAACCCTTTAAAAATAATAATAATTAATTTGGCATTATTTCAGCCTTCAAAAAACGCAAACGGTCGAGCAAGTCACATTCCATCTCCGCAAGGCGCTGAGTTGGATTTGTGACAAGAGCCTGAACCAAAAACACAATTTCGGAAAGGTGAAGAAGGTCGACATGACATTGACCCACCACGTTGATGCCCATCAACTGTATATTCTTTGTTCCGAAATGGTAGGTAAGACAAATTCTCTTGGTTATTCGGAATTCAACTGATTTCGAATCTTTGCAGTTTCCACAAATTCATGTGAGCGTCAATCTCGTGAAAGAAGACGAGCCCGAATTGGCCAATATCGATTGGGATGGAAAATCTAATCGAATTGTAATGTCGACACCTGATGAGGTGTATGATAAGATCGAGGCTAATCCGGAGAGGGGGCCGTGGTTTAAGGTGGTGACGGATGTTGAGATAGATGCTAATGTCGAGCCTATGGGATCAGATTTGAACACAGTGATCCTGACAAAGACAGAAAAGACGAAGAAGGATATAATGGAATTTTTTGTATGTTCTTTCACTTTTTGTTAATTGTTTAGAATTTCCGATGTTTTGTAACTCAATTTTCAAAAATTACAGGAACCATCATATTACGATCGGGTTAATCCGACAAAAAACTCAACCAAAGCTATTGATAAATGTATCAATAGTACAACGCCACCAGAGCCAATAGCTGAAAAAACCACCACTGATGACCGTCTTTCTGATGTGAGTCTTTGCATTCCTTTCTTTCCTTGAGAAATGTTGAATAGATTTTCCAAATTCTTAGAACAAAACTACCACCACCCAAAAAGATGTTAAAGAAGAAAAAGGAAACAAGGGTTCCAAGAAAACTCGAGGAACGAAACGGAAGCTGGATGAATTTCCAAAGCCAATTATTGTGATGCATGAGGTGAGGCTTTATTTAAATTCAATAAATTAAACTCGCTAATGGAGCGAATTCTTTCAGGACGTGATTATTGTGCCAATTGACGATGCAAATATTCAACGGCCACTCGTGAAGCCACCCGTGAAAAGAAAACCGATTGTAATCGATGAGGAACCGATTGATGTCGATAATTACGTGGCAACAAAACGGGAGACATGTTCGAGTCGAAAGACTCGGTCTGCTTTTGCAAAGAACAACATTAAGCCGACGGAACTGCTTTCTGCGCAAACAAAACGGATAGTCACACCAAAGTGTTCTCCCGTTCAAATTGACGAACTTTCAATTTCCGAATTTGGTCGCAAATTAACCGATACAACAAGCACACGAGAAACACGTTCCACATCGGCAAAGAAACGTGTCAATGTCACTGAATTGACGGATTTACAACAGACTAGACGCAAGAGTGTCCGGCTTCATACAAAAAATGTCGTACAATCGAAAGTGAAAGAAGAAAGTGATGGAAATGAGAGAGGAAAGTACAACAATCGTCGCAAATCTAATTTAGCGAGTTCAGTGCTGCCATCCAAGAGACATCGAACATATTCATCATCTGACAGTGATGAATTTATCGTGGAGACGAATGAACGGCAAAATATCGGAGAGCAATTTGATTCGCTGTTAATCGGTCCATGTTCGTTCAAGGGTAAAGATTAATTCCATTACTTAAGAATTGCTATCCATCTTTTGATAATTTAGCCATTACTCTCCATTACATGTTGATTAATTTACAATATTTCCATTTTCTCTTCTCACCATCCCTATAGGTAAAGTGGCGAAAGACGCAAAAGTTTTGGAACAAAAGTATTCAAAGGAGTTGAAGCAGAAGAAGCCGATTCTTTTCTCAGATGACAGCAGTTAAATATTTCTACTCGAAGGCGGGCCAATTTTAATTTTTATTGAGATTTTTTTAAAATTAAAAACAGTACAAACATGTTTAAAACAATATATACTAAGTTTTTTTTGTGGAAAATTGTAAAAAAAATATTCAAATATTTTCATTGCTCAAGAGATTTGTACGATTTCTGAATAAATCCAACAAACTTTCAAATTGCAAAGTATTTTGCGCGATTCAATTAAATAGTTTGTAGTAAATAATTGGTCGAAACATCTTTTGTAACAATGAAACTAGAATGTGTGATTGTTTTAATGTGTTTTTGTCTAAAAGTGCGTGCACAGCTGTTTGACGAACAGCTGTTTAATGCCGTTAAAGAAGGTATTTATAAAATGCCGCTTTTCTTACGGCCACTAGGACAAAATACACAACGAATAAACGAATTGGGTGGCTGTAGCGCATTTTCCAAAAAGTTCTTATAGTCGCTACATCCAAAATACATACCTAGATCTTGTGTTCATTTTTAAGAATGGTAAAGAATGACGAAATAAATAGTGCGAGCTAGTTCGGCCTTGTGCCCTCTTTTAAGCTTCCTCTGACATGGCAGCCAAAGCCATTGGCAACATCCGCTGTGGCCAAAATACATTTTTTAAAGCAGCTGTGAGGAAAGCTACTCAGATACAGGCTGCCTCAAGGATGAGTGTTTATTGTCACTCAAGCTAGTCATAAAAATTTGGTTGAAAACGTCCAAACCAAATGTCATAATAAATGTTTCATTCAGCTATTTTTATTGGAAAGCAAATCAATTTTTTGTGCATGCAAGTTGAATGAATCGTTTTGTTCTTCTTTGCATTTTGATTGTGCCTGGCTTCTACGTTGAAATTTCATGAATGTGAAGAGTAAATACCGGTCATTGGATGACATTTAGCAATATAAATGTTCGATTGATCAATTTTTGTTTAAAATTCAAAATTCAGAACAATACACTCTATACATGAGAACAATAGAACAGCACAGCACTTGGTATGAGCAGAGGAACGACAAAGAATGATTTGTCTTTGTAAAAAGGGTTCTCATCATTAAAACCCATTTTTGAAGGTTCTCACACATTCAAACTTGCGTTGTAATTTATATGCCGACACCAATGTTGTTCCTTTGTGTAAACATAAGCTGACATGCGATTAAAATACCACCAATTCTTAAATAGGTCGCTTTTTCGTAAGCAAAACATTGTTGGAGAGTGTTGACAGTTCAAAATTAATGTAATTTTAACATTCTTTCATTTGTATTGAGCCATTTTTGCCGAAAAATTGTACAGAAATTTTGAAAAACAATGAAACGGGGACGAGCTGATAAACCAAATGAAGGTAGCAGTGAAAAGCAACCCAAAAATGGTGATTCTCCATTGGTAATGAGCAAATGTGAGTGTTTTTTTTCTGGTATTTTTCTCCGAATCGTGCAGTGACGTGATTTTGTTCTTTTTATCAGCTCAAACGATATCGGCAACAAAACTAAATGCAATGATATCAAAGCAACGACAAGACGAACAGAACGGTCCATTGGAACTGTCTGATCTTTTCAATGAGTGCTTGGAGTCAATTTTCAAGTACTTGGAATTCAATGACATGTTCAACATGGCCGAGTCCGATGTCCGTTTCATTCCAATGATTCGTTTGGCATTTTCGCGACGATATCGAACAAAAGAATTGCATTTGAATTTTTGCGAGCAAAAATTCCGTGATGAAAACGGTTCCATTGAAATTCCAAAAGATGTATCAGCCACCACATTCATCAATGTCATTGGCCAAAATCTTTCGAAGTTGACAGTGTTTTGTATGACTGTAGATGCAACAGAAAACGAACTATCACTGCTCAAATCTTTGGCAACTAGTTTGCCGAAGCTTCAATATTTGGTGGTGACTGATGAAGCTATGAAAATGCCAGTCTCAACGATTGAACGAATGCTTCAGATGAATCAACAATTGAAAACATTTGACTTGGTCCGAGATTACAGCATCGGTTTCCTTCAGTCCATCAATCAGTGGCTGCCACATTTGGAGGAGCTCACACTTAAAGTGCCGGCCGATCGATTCCAAAGTCTTGGCGATCAAACACTTCAATTTCAAAACGTCAAAAAGTTCGTGTTGTCTACAAGTTTTGTAAATGGTGAATTCGTAGTCAAGATGCCATTTTCGTTCGAAAAACTTGAAAGATTGTACATGGGCGGTCTTACCAAAATGAATGGCCAAACATTCAGTTTCATCAAAGAAAATAAAGAGATCAGTGAATTGAAAATGATCACCAAGACCATGACATATGATGATTTGTCATCAGTTGTGAAGGCACTGCCAAAGCTAACATCTTTAATGATTGCGGCCGACACATTGACATCACTTCAACGGCGACAATTGTTGAAGGAATGCTATCGCTCGAATATGACGCAATTACGCATGAGTTTCTTCAATCTGTCAAAGTGCTATGAATTTATTGTGGATCTCGACGAGGAATACAAAACTAAATGGACGATCACGGTGTGGAGTTCAAAATGTACCATTTGGACATCGGAGCTACGATTCGAGAAGAAGTAAACATTCACCGTCAATTTAAAATAAAATCTTAATTGGACGAATTTTTAATTACTTTATTTTATATTAAAAACCGTTGGTCGTATTAAATAAATGATTTCATTGGATTTTTCTTTTATAATTTACTTTCTTTCGAAGAAGCGGCAAATAAATCTGATTTGATTGGAATGAAATGTTCACTGGTAATTAAAAGCGATTGAAATTCTTAAAGCTACTGAAGTTTCTTCAATGAAAATAGAATGAATTATGGTTTTAAAACTTGTGCCACGTAATTTGAGTCGTATGCCTCAATGCTGACAATGCTCGCAAAATACTCCGTTTGTGATTTGGGTCGTACAATCATCTTAACAGCGAATCGTTCCAAGATGAATTTGGTGAAAATGGCATCGATGTCATCCTCAGTCATTGCTTTGAGTTCTTGTGCCGAATGGCCAAGTATGTGTTGAGCATGTTCATCGACAATGCGACAGTTCAACGTTCCAGAGTAATCGGTTACTGAAACGGCCATATAAACCTTGTCCACATACCTCGGTCCGTTCGACTGTATCAAATCACAATTTGGCATTCCGCATTCATTGCGATTCCAAATCAATTTCTTACAATTTCCGCAGCTTCTGACAATCGCAGCATTTATATCAAATTTTGTAATCACACCATATACAATTGCTGCTATTTCTTTGGTCGGATCACGTTCAATTTCATCGCGCATACGCTTCACTGACATAACATCTCTGATTGAATCGGCTCCGATCGTGGGTTTTCGAAGATTGTTCTTCAATTCGTTGACTTTATCTGCACTCATTGTGCGAATATACGCCATAATCTCATTTGAACGCGAAGAATTCACGGGATTTTCGATGATAATCGTCATGGAAGTGATTGATAAGACCGTTGATCGTTCGAAAGCGGAGTACTCAAAGCGAACATCCACCAATTGCAAAATTGTTTCCAACGGTTTCCAGAGATCCATTCGCGATTGATAGTCTGGATTCCAAACGACCATCGACATTAATTCCGTTGTTCGATCCATTAAACAGACTTTGCGCACCGTTTTTTCACCGAATTTTCTGAAAATGCATGAACATGAACTTTGGTTCTTCAGAGATGTAATGTTATTCATACTCACGTTTGTACTGGTCGCGGTGGCTCCACTCCTCTTACTGTAGGAAAAATAAAAGATCAATCTCTTGAATGAATTTTAGAGGTGAAATATTTACCCAAAACCACCACATCTGCTGTGACCGCAACCGATCCAGGACGGCACACCAGATCGTCCAATTTCAGTGCCAATGACGTCGGCTTAACAGACTGATTTTGAAGTTGAAGCAAATGAGCCGACTGCTCCATGGATCGATGTACGAAAGAATTGCCCTCGTACACTCTCAATTCAAATGGCGATGTTGTGCGTGGATGATAGATGCTATCGTTGGTGTTTTGAACAACCTTCGGTTGATAGATTGAAATGATGTCACCGATTTTGTAGGCGCGAGCACAATTATTGATGAATTGTTCCGAACCCCAAATTGAACAATTTATGAAATGATCTTTTGTATCGCGTACGGTGAATGTGATCACACCACCATTCCGACCGGAACTGAACATCTTTTGCTCCGTTTTAGCGATGATCAGCGTATTGAGGAAAAATGAGTGAGAATACATTGTTAGATCCTTTATTTGACAATAGACACAGGCCATTTTGGGTGAAATTTTCCAACAACCATCAAAGTTAATAGAGCTGCTTACGGCGATAGTGTTTATCGCGAATATTTGATGGAGGGAATTCTTTCTGTGAATAATCTCTTTTGTACTACATTGTAAAGAAAAAATGTTAATCAACTTTATTTACCCGAAAGTTTCTCTTTGATTTTGGTTTTAATAGAATTGCTTCTGATTATGGTGTGCCTTGGACTTCCTTCTGAGTATGTCGGTTAGAATGAAATTGATATTCAACTTTGACATTTAGGTCACGGTCAGCCCAATAAATTAGTTCACGTCCAATACCTATGGTGACGTTTCGATATCGATGGTTCCCCGAAACTTTTTTATCGAAACCTGAAAATTATCGCCAATCGTCATTGAGACCCAAACGCAAAATGGAAATAATTGAAGTATGAACACTTCCCAAAAAATATTTATCAATGACTTGTCATTTTTTAGTTTTGAAATATCGGCAACGTATTTTAATTCATTGAAAGTCATTGAATTTGAACGCAACAATTCAAAACAGCCAACTTCAAAGCAGACAAAGATATTGTCAAAAATATTACGATGACCATGCATATACTGAGACATTGAAACACACGCTATTTTATTGTGCGCGTTAAGATGAAAAGGTCATTGAAGGGCAAGCGATGGACAAGACAAACACAAAAAAAAAATCGAAAAATACATACAATGTGTATGTACAGTTGTACAACTCGTAACCAATACATTCAATGTGCCAGACTGCCACATCGGAATTTTCTCGCCATCAATGCAATGAATTTTTGTGTAAACAAATTGACCTGCGATTGCGTAATGCGTATTTCATGAAATGATTTTTTTCTATTTTCGTTGCACAAAGTCACGATGAATGTGTCTGCAATCAAAGGGACGTCGGGTGGAAGGGTCAAGAGTAAATGTCATGATAAAACAAGAGGTTGTCATGAAGAAAGGGCCAGAAGACAGTTCATATCTGGTTGAAGCGGGTTGAATACGTAGTGGGTATTGATAAATGAAGACGTGTGTAAACAGTGTAAAACAATGAACCTGACGCTTTTTTCCGCTTTTTTCAATATTTTTGTTTATTTTCTTTATTTTAGGAAAATTTTGATTTTTTGATCGATTCTAATAATTAAAAAAGATATCATATTGACAATAAAAAAATTAACCTAAAACACCTTTGGTTTCTTCAAACATCTCTTGATATACTATTCGTAAATATGGATTAGAATTTTCATAATCATCAAATGGATTTTTCGCATTATTTTCGCCGCATTTTTCGAGAAAGTCATCTGTATTAACAGGCAAAATGACGATCCCAGCCAAATTCCGACTCCTAACAAATGCCACTTTCCTTGCAAGCGCGTCAAATGTTTCAAATTCTATCGTTTTGGGTTGTGAATTTCTTCTCATGAGTATGTTGGCAACACGGTTCTTTTTCCATATTTCACATGCCCGACTCATTCCCATCGTCTCTTCGAATTCGATGACATCTTCTCTATGATTGAATTTATGCGCCAGAAACTGAATTCCCATAGCTATTTTCATTGGCGACACACCCATTTCGATTAAGTTGTCAAACATTCGCATTTGGTTTGTGACATTTAACATACCGAAGGCCATTTTCCCAGAATATGCTCGGAAATCATACAACTGCAGGAAGTTTATTAGATCAACGTGTTCCGAAAGACTGAGAATGTTCAGTGATTTTGCTAACTGCGTGTCGATACCAATGAACGATAATGTTAAGGATAGACTTTTACTGTGCAAGCTCGTTGATAGGTCATTTATAAAATTATAGATGTTGTCGTCGGCGGTTAATGGAGTAGGTGTAAGGGACCTAAGTGAAAGGTGGAGGAAATAAAAATTAAGTACAATTTCACTTTGGAGAACAACAGATGACCGAAAGTTCAGAGTCTGAACATCAGACGGTTGATTATGCGCTGCATGAAATATCGTAACATGGTTCATTCATTGACTTTGTGTGAAAGTGAAAAAGAGCGAGATGTTACAATGTCATACACAAGCGGCCTGAATTTTCAATTGATGAGAACAGTACCGGTAGAGCCAAGCTGTCCAAGTTCAAATATCCTGATCTTAATACAATATTTCGGTCTTCTGTGTGTAAATTCGTGTTAATTTCTTAACAATAGCAGAACCTACCTTGCCTTCGAAAGATCCCAAACCATATTCAGTCCATCGAAATGGCTGTTCAAAGCGAATTCTGTCCAATTTTCAATAAATTCTCGACGTCGTTCTGAATCATTAACTATTTCAAAGTACTCAGCTAATGAATGTTTAACAGCCATTGCAATCTGTAAAAAGTGCAATTAAAATTCAGGGATTGTTACACACTAAGTCATATTGGCGTATAAAAATGTCCGACCCCTGAATTTACGTCCGAATCAAAATGACAAAACATTGTGGTAAATTCTGGTCGATACTCACATTCAAATGCGGATATGTCTGTCGTAAATTTGTAAATCGCTTGTAATCGATTTTTCCGGTTGATTTTCGCCATGGTTCTGTTTTCCCATGTTAAGATCCATTCATTACATGAAAAAGTATTGAAAATTTATTGAGATTTTTTCTTGGGTGTTTAAAGGAAAAAAATGACATAAAATCCCTTATATCTATCTACCGTACCTTCGCTCTCCGCTGTACTCCAAATATCATCGATGCAAATGAGATGCGTGCATAAATTCAGGTCAACATTCTCAATTGGAGTAGAGCTCAATTTGCGATCGGGTTTCGTTAGTGTGTAACACACAACATTTTTGTTCTCAAATGAACCGTTTCGAATTTTGCTCTCACTTCCAATTCGATTTTCGTCGCTTTTTTCCTTTTTCGCCACCAAAATCGCGTTATTTATGGTGTGTAACAGTGGAAAAGTTGAAAATCTTTGCAATGTATCTCGAGGAACTGCCTTATAATCGATAAAAGTGTTGTTTTCAATTCGACAAGATCCATCGGAATCATCGTAATTGATCGGGAATGCCATAATTCCGCCTAAATTCCGTCGTACAGCGAATCGAACTTTGTTGGCAATTGAACGGCCGCTTTCAAAAATGTATTGCTCGAAATCTGGCAAAAACGTCCAAAGTGGCATTGGCAATGGTTTTTTGGCCGCATTCAAACCGTGTTCAATGTTATATTTTCCATTCAAATCACACACTGTGGCGTATCCAAATTTCTCCACCCCGGAAAAATTGTCGAAGACACTCGGTAAAAATTGTATGCCTAGAATGATTTTTTCACGTTGCGCCCCTAGTGCAATTGCAGTATCGATGGCGTCTTGAATGATTCGCATACTTCGCATCTCGAATGATAATTGATATTTGTGCAAGTTTGAACCAGCAAATATGTACCATTGCAAAAAATGAATTGAATCAAAATGCTTGGACAATTCAAACATACTGAGATGCAATAGTATTTTTTCGTGCACCGCAATGATCGTTGTGGTTAGCGTTAAATTATTCGACGCAAAATTGGTTTTCAACGATTTTATGAAATTTATGAAGGTTTCTTCGTTGTATTTTTCATCGAACAGGTATTTGTAGTTGTAGTCTCTGAAAAAAAAAATCATTGAAAATAGAAATTGAATAGACACTATTTGAGTTGAAGAAAGAACGAGCGAGGTGATATTTCTTATTGAGAAATCTGGATTTGGTAAGAATGAAAGTGCATCTGCATTTTTTATCGTCAGAGAAATTCACCCAATCTTCAGGCAAACATTTCATCTAGCATTTCATCCTTTTGCCTCCCATTTGATCTTTTTGCAGACGAATAACCATGATAGTGTTTATTGACCGCAACAAGGATCCGACCTGAACGACCCGACGCGACCCAACCAACCCGAAGGCTTGAGCCCCGCGGAGAATATTTGCGTCGGATACTCCGGATATTTCGGGCCTTTGGTGTCATGGACCTCCGCATGATGGGAGGAAGCATAGAAGTATACCGGAACCGTGTATTTTTATAGAAATTATTTGGAAAATTTAAATATTCTTGAGTCAATAATATTGGCAAACAAATCAAAACCATATCTTATCAATCGTTCTTTCTTAACTTCATAAAACACTGGTAACTTCCTCTGTTTCAATGAAATATGTACTCACTGATATCTTGAAAAATCCCACAATAGATCAATCCCATCGAATTGGTGATTTATTGCAAATTCCGTTGCATTTTTAACAAATATTTGGTTTCGTTGTTTGGCCATTTCGAGGTAGTCTCGAAAATTACGTTTGAGAGCGAGCAAAATCTGAAAAAAAAAAAACTAATTTCGAATCATAAAAATATAACTGCACTTAACAAGCTACCTTCAGTCTTGGCCATTTTAGTCTCAATCTCGTTAATCGTGCATAGTCTTTACTCTTATCTCTCGAACTACTCCATGGATCTTTAAATACATAACAAGAAAACATATATTTTCTTCAGAATGCAATTTTAAAAACGTATTTGTTCGTACCTTCACTAATTTCAAATCTTTCGCCCCACACACGATCGATGGCAATGACATGTGAACACAAATTCAAATCGACACGTTCAATTTTCAATTCACTTTCATACTCGTAATAACAAACAACTGCCTTATCATGTGTTAGACCTGCTGACGAACGATAAATTGTTATAAACGTTTTTCACTAAATTTTTTCGGAATTCGTCACCTTTCGTTAATGAGAAAAACACACAAATCGTTAAGACGTAAACCAAACGCACCATATTGCAATGAGATCTTTGTAAAAAATTAAGTTTTTGCTGCAGAGAATACTACTTTTTCAGCGTGTGATGTGCCATTAAGTTGTTATTGTGGTTCGATGACAAAGAAATATAAACAAATACGGCGCAACAGCAAAACCGAAATAATGAAAGTGTTCGCATGCACTTATAGAATGAAAGTTAAAACTCATCACGTTACACAAATTAGGTTAACCGTCTGATCGGATTTCGGAGTTTGGAATGAAATGGTAAACCACTCTCTTTTTTGTATTGCACTAAGTTTCATTTCACATCAGATCGTCTGTACTCAATATGTAAATGATAACTGAAGTTCAAACGAATTGAAGAGAACGGAGTCGCACCATTCAATACATTTTGGACTGTCGAAAAATACACATACGTAAATTGTATGTAACGCCAACACAAACTTTCACACCGTGTGATTAATTTATCGTTAGTTTGTTTTGTTTACATTTTTCATCAATACGTGTGTGATTCATGTTAAAAGATTTGTTTTTGAATGTGTCGCGTGCGGAATTCACAAATGTATTGATTTTAATGCGTCTCTCACTTATGACGTTGTTGACGCCACACATGCACGATCATTGTCGACTACGGTGAAAGAACCGACAACAAACACCGATAAAGTAACAACAACAATGCACATATGTAAATTGCTGACTCGTCGACAGGTAATGATTCGGTCTTATATTTTAGGTAGAAGCAAACAATGCAATATTACCCTGATCTGTTTATACCGAAAAACAAATATCGACAGAACTGCATCGTTCTGCATCGTTTGGCGTTTACAATGAAAATTCTTCATTGTTTGGCAGATCGAAAAATCAGTGCCATTCAGTTCTACTTCAATTTGTAAAAACATTAAATCACAGACTCGTTTGTCGTTTGTATAAATCACCGACACGAACAGCGATCACGTGAGTTCACATTTAATCGCCATTGAGATTGTTGAAGAAATTATTTTCGCTGTAAAACGAGTTTCTCAGTTCAAATCCGGTGGAAATGCTGCAACATGCATTTTGAACGGGAGAATGGATTAGTATTAGTGGTACGGATTCTCATTTTCAACGACCAAAATCATATGGTGAGCTCGTTTTTATGTGACATAAAATCTTATTGCAAATGATTGAAATGAACGGGTCTTTTAAAATGAAAAAACTCAAACACTTTCATTTTATTCGATTATGAATCATGAAACCACGGCCCATACCATACCGTCGCTACTCACATGCTCTTTCCGAAAGTGAGAGATAGACATGTAAAGACGCAGAGATAAAGAAAAAGACAGAATAGAGACAAAAATTCCAAAAAACACTTTCTTTGAGGATATTTCCAATGTCAATGCTAATTCGTACGTATTCACATTTTTTGTGCATTAAAATTGTTGTTTTTGAATTTTGTTTAATTTACTTTATAACTTAATGAATGGAACAAAATCTAAACGAGGTAGAAAGATTAAGGCTATTGTTTTTCTGTGCTGTCTTTTTGAACTTTGCTACACATCTTCGAGCATGGATCAAACGATCAAACAAAATTCATTAAATAAAAATAAAATTTTTGCTTATTTTGTAAAGTTTGAGTTTAAAAAAAACGATTTGATACTGAAAATAAAGATAATTTATTTATTTTATTTAATAAATAACAATCATGTATTTTTAATGTTAAATTTCTTAAAAATCTTATTCCATTTTCTCGTCTGCCGGTGTTACGACCTTAATATTCGGAATATTTGACTCAACTGGAACAACCTCATCATTCTCATTCAGTTTGCGTGATTTGAGTATGTGAAGCATACACCCCAAGCGAAGTGTAAAATAATAAATGATCTCAAATATTGATAGTATAGAAACGCCCATGAAGAGACCCAGCAAACCGCCACAATAAGATAAAAAATCTGTGTAATTACTTGCTTCTGACCGTACTGATGTAACAAATTCATTTCTTTTAAATGAAATTTTCACACGTGCCAGTTCCATTCTGCAAGTAAATTACAAAATGTAAGTTGCAAAATATTCGTCTGAGAAGCAGCAGTTTACACAATATGATCAAACATACCCCGGGAATTCATCCAATGGAGACTTAAATGCTTTGAATAAACCAACCCAATCGAATTTGGCCTGAGATATCTCAACATCGTAATTAATCATTGTACAAGATGGCAAACAATTGCAACCTTTTGGAGCTGACTCCGCATTTTCATTATTGATGAAATTCTTTTCAAGCAACTTACCTTCAGCATCATTGTAACACTTTATTTTATCGCTGCCACAAATTTCCGTGTTTCTATCCCCTTCAACGCGTAATTGAACAATAAATTAAATTGAAATACCGTTCATAACATAAAATCATCAAAGTAATATTTAGAAAAATTTTACTCGGCATTGAGAATTGCACACATCCACATTCAAGCTTTGTGAAATTGGACAAACACTCCAATTCACAGTTGTTTTTTGTATACGCTTTGAAGAATCGTAATTTTCGTTCTGACGTAAAGAAGCATTGACGTTGATTTGGTGAATAAGGGAGTAGTCTTTCCGACGTGGTAATCAAGTGGGGTTTAATAGATACTATCGCTTCTTGCAATATTGGCACAATGATATAATCTTTCGACATTTGTGGCACTTCACCTGGTGTATGCAATACAATTTTAAATCCCTGTACTGGCCCACGGCATAAATATTCCATATTTTGTTGATACAGACGAAGCAAAGTGAACAGACCTGCAGTAAATGTCAAACCTCTTAAAACTGTTTCCAAATATGGAAAATAAATATTTTTCCAATAACATGTTAGCTTTTAGACCTGCTTTGTCTCCTGAGCCCAACCCTCGATCTTTTTTTTGAAGAAAAAAACATATCACAAATTTTAAATAAATTTTATCAAATATCAGTTTTAAATGTGAATTAGATCAGTAAATGCTACGAGTATTTCCTACATGGATATGTTTGAACATAGTTTCCATATTTGTAACCATCTTCTAATCTCCAATGTGTTGCATTTGGATTTTTTGTTACGATCTTCATTTCATCGGCCACCCTTTCGAACCGTGTTGAATAATTATTATTAAATTGTATTAGATATCATAGTAAGAAAAAAAACATAATACATACACATCTGTGTAAATTTCTTGCGAATTGAGAGAGTTAAATGTATAGCAAAGACCTTCTCCGGTCAGAATCGGTTGAAAATTAGTTTCACAAGGGATAAAATCATTACGCCATTTGCAATAAAACATTGTATCGTTAAAGTCGGGTGCAACATCTTTGATTATCTCATATATTTCGCTTGTCGTAAAATTTTGACCCAATAAAAAGTTCTCCGCCAAATGTGCTTCACAAAGTTGAATTACAGCTTTCGTTCGATATAAACTATGATTATGGAAATGTTATTCATTTTATGTACACTTTTTGCATCGTATTTTTGGACTCATTTTATGAAACATATCATACTTACTCTTCCTCAGTCATATTGTCTTTTTGACCTGCTAACAACGTATGGAATGCCTCGGTCATGTTTAATTTGTCCACGTAGGTTTTAGTTAGTGGGCAAATGGTTACGGCTGGAAACGGGATCGCCCATACAGGCGTTGATTTTTCGGCAAATGATACAATTCCCAAACTTGTGTTCCATATGATCCAAACTTGGTGAATATTGCTTCCACAATAGTATAGCGACACTACAAATACAAATGCCCAACATATTCTATTCGGGACACGTGCATTGTTAAAAAGGAGAGTTTTGATTTGTTTTAGTAGTCAGAAGAAAAATGGATTACCTTTCAGCCGAATGACGGTTGCTATCCGCAAAATATCTGACACCATGAACACTGCTTTCTTTGGAAAATTCACAAAGTACAGCCCAAACAGTCTGCAACACTCACAAAATTAATATTTTGATTTAAAAATGTCAAGCAATTTTATCATACTTGAATTTGACTCCCAGACATGGTGTTTTTTCGAAAATCGACTTCTTCACTAGAAGCGATTGACTTCTTTTCCGGTTTGTCTTCAGACATGGCCATTGGTCAATTTATTTTTATTCCTTAAATACACGGTAGAACATATTTGAAAAATTTATTTTTGATTTTAAATCTACTGGCACTAAAATAAATAATGTGATTATTACGAAATGTTTT